CCGCTCGTTCTCTATTTTTGTTCCCTAGTATTTAAGATATATGTTTTCATCATCGTGGATATGTTATCATAATTTATCTCAAAGAAGGAATGATGCCGGCATACAAGCAAATGGCGGAAAAACATTGACAGATAGAGAGAGAGAGAGAGAGAGAGAGAGAGGGAGAGAGAGAGAGAGGGAGATAGAAAGTTGGACGTAGTCTGTACTGTATTTATTATTATGCTAGTTGTCTATCTGATCAGCCCCCCCCCCCTCGTTCCGAATGTTTCTTTAGTTCTTTAAAAAAAAAATCTTTTCGCTAAAGTATAATGTCCGACCAAGGAGTTTTCCTTCGTCCGACGTATATTAGTTCTTTCAAAAAAGATTGCTTCATATTGATTGTATGCAAAAGAGATGTTTTTATATCCAAACTCCTTCTTGTTTAATTATTGTACAGTAATATTCTTCTCATTTCGATATCAGCCATTAGTTCCGTTTTTTTCTTATCATTTTAAAAATATTGTATAATAATTTTTCTCAAAATCGGAAGGAACAATTTTGGTATAAAAACAAATAGCGGAACGGAAAGCAGTACCAGAAGAAAGACGGAACCTGGCGTTGAGAGAGCGAGCGATCAAGAATGAGAGAAGCAAACATTTCCCCTATCATCTTTTTGTCTGTGACATTTTATTTAATCACATCCTCTTGTTTATTTCTTTATATTTCCATGATTGTAATATATTTGCATCAATATTTTAGATAGGGTAAAATCTGGCTATGCGTTATGATTAACCATTCTTATTTATAATGTCGAAACGTGCTTTAGGAAATCGCGGAACAGAAAACAGTATGAAAGAGATGAAGTATAATGAACGGTTTTTAGAGAGTGAGAGAGAGAGAGAGAGAGAGACAAGACAGAGAGAAAGAGGGAGAGAGAGAAAGTTGGGCGCATCGTTATATAGTCTGTACTGTATTTATTAGTATGCTATTTTGGCTCTCCTTTCACCCCCCCCCCCCCCCCCGTTCTGGATTCTTCTTGAGTTTCATTTGATCATGTTTATATATTTTCGCTACAGTAGAATGTCCGACGTAAATTATAACAGTCAACTTTGGCTGATAAACTATTTCAATTCAATCTGATGCAACAGAAACTTACATTGAAATATTTTACTTTTTATAAACTGTGTATTTTCTCATAAAATCGAGTATCAAAATAAAAGGAGATAAATAAGAAGAATAGAAAGAAGAAGAAAACGAAAAAGAAGGAGGAGGAATAAGAGTGAGAAGGAAAAAAAAGATACGGACGAGAAAGAAGAAGAACAAAATAAGGAGGTAGAAGAGGAAGAAAAGATAACGAAGAAAAAAAACCTACCTACGGAAGAGCTGAAAGAACTTAGGGGTTGGAGCACGGCAGATTGCCAAATGATCTGCGCATGCGCTAAGTTCCTGCTCGTCGAAGCGACTGACCAGGCTTTAGGTCGCTTCAACGCACACGCATTGTGCCGCGCGCTGAACAGTCGCACGCTACGGCAGCGAAGGAGTCAAGTTTTCGATTTTTAATCTCGTTTGTGGGGTGGCTATTAGGCTGAATAATTTCGGAAGGAACGGGTTAAAACACATACAATCGCAAATAATGTAATAAACAACCATATTTACTTTATTATTACCCTATTATCACTTGATCCATTACTTTTTGCGTGTAATCCTTATGGGAGATGACTTTTTCTCAAATCTGGATTCTACATTCTTGTCTTTTGCGAGCAATATCGCCGTTATTTCGGCTTGATTTTTGTTGATTTTTGAGTATGTTGTAGCTGAGACTATATACTATCTCAATGTTCTCTCATTTTTTTCAGTCTGATGTCATCATGGTCTGTTGATGATAATCATCAACATCATCATGATCATCATCATCATCATATTCGTCATCACAATTACTATCAAGATCATCATCATCATGATCATCATGATGATCATCATTGTTTACATGTCTATATAACTTGAAGGCAGACCACCTTATTCGTCCTCGTGACGAATTAAATTCTAGTATTTTAATTGAATTTGTACAAACACTCAATTCAATTAAAATTCTTCCGTACACTTTTTTGTCCACACGTTTACTCGAAATCGACATGGTCAATTTCCTTCAAATTTCTGTCAGTCATCAAGCTCTATGATTTCAAGTCTAATTAACTTTTTCAAGTTCATGGGGTTATCGTGAAGTCATCTAGGCGCCATTTTGTAAAAATCAGGTCATTATCATATCTCGATAACGAGTCATCACAAATCAACCATATTTGGTATACATCAACTTCAGGTCAAAGGTCAACGAAAAATGTCAACACATTCCGCGCGCGCACCTTGACGCGCGCGTGCGCGCGCATCAAAATTTTAAAATGCTCCAATGCGTCCCAAATTGTGTTTGCACACGTTTCAGGGCATTTTAAGCATGTCATAAAAATCGCGCAAAACACGCATTTTTGCGCGTTTTCGTTCGTAGCGGCCAAAAGAAAAATAATTTCCTAGTACGTCTTTTTGACGAGGATATTTCTTATCTTTTCCCGAACAATTTGATACCATGTTTATCATTTCATGACCATTATTGACGGAATTAGCGTCTGTTTAAAATACATGTCCGTACGCGCGAGATCGTGCAATACATAGCATATATGGGCAAAAACATGCCTATACAAAATCCATTGTAGCTCTTTAGAATGCAAGATGACCCCAATTTTTTTCTTCATATCGTGATAAAGTATGAGTCGGAGATATGATTTAATGTCTCATTTGACCCTCAATTAACTCATGACGTCATCATAATGGCCTCCGAACTCAAAATTTCAATTAGCATATTATGACGTCATCATATTTTTTGAAAATTGATTGTATCTCTGTACATATTGATTAATTTTCTTTCAAATTTTGATATGTTCTACCTGAGAATATTCTCTACAAATGCAGTTGTCACGATATTTCATTTTGACCATGGTATCATGGCGTATTTTTTCGATTAAAGGAGGCATGTCAATTTTTCACATTTTGCGTGTATTCTCTATGGGACATGACTTTTTCTCAAAACTGGATTCTACATTCTCATCTTTCGCGAGCAATATCTCCGTCGTTTTATCTTTGTTTACGCTGAGCTTTGAGTATGTTGTAGCTGAGACAATAAGCTATCATAAGTGTGCCTTTTATTTTTCGATCAGACGCCGGGATCATGCTCATATTTCACTTACAAAGTGGGATTTGCGAATTCCATTTTCCGTTTACGTGTAATCTCTATGGGAAATGTTTTGGTATATCGGTAACGCACTTGGCTTCCGACCTCGAGGTCCCTGGTTTGAGTCCGGGCGTCTCCAACAATTTGTTTTCTTCACTTTTTTTTCATTTTGACCTTTCACTGTACAATCTCCTTTGAATTTTAAAACACGTAGTGTCGTATCTTATATGTCCATAAATACGAAAGTAATACTGCTAGAAGTATACGCCATTATGTTCGTTGCTAAGCTTACTGTATTCTGCCGGAGAGGGCAGTATTGCACTGTTTCATACAGACAAGTTTCTGATGGATATACATAGCAAATATCACATTACTACACGTAGAATCGCAAATAATGTAATAAACAACCATATTTACTTAGTTTGTTATTACCCTATTATCACTTGATCCATTACTTTTCGCCTGTAATCCCCATGGGAGATGACTTTTTTTCTCAAATCTGGATTCTACATTCCTGTCTTTTGCGAGCAATATCGCCGTTATTTCCGCCTGGTTTTTGTTGATTTTGGAGTATGTTGTAGCTGAGACTATATGCTATCTAAATGTCCCCTAATATTTTTCAATCAGATGTCAGGATCACGCTCATGATCATCATCATCAAGTTCATCATGATCATCATCATCGTGATGGTCTGATGATCATCAACATCATCATTAACATCATCATTATTATCATCATCTAACATTATCATTACCATCACCTTCATGTTCATCATCATCATGATCATCATTGTCTATGTCTATATAACTTCTCCCTTTCTCTATATAGTAAATATTGAAATATATTTATGCTAGTAGAGTGCCTCGATTGCATCTCTTTCTCTTTCTCCTCTCTCTTGCTATGTTCCCCTTCTCCTCTCTTGTTCTGCCCCTCTCTCTTGCTTTGTTTCTGCATCCCCCCTCTCTCTCTCTACTCTTCACCCTCTCCCTTAACTCCTTCCTTGCCTCCCTCTTTCTCTCTTGCGATGTCTCGATCTATCTCTGCCCTTCTCTTTTGTTATACTCTCTCACCCTCTCCCTTTTCCGCCTCTGACTCTCGTTCTCCCTCTATCATGTCTTCCAGTGTTCCCCAATCTTCTTTAACTTTTCCTTCTAACCTTTGTATTCTTGTTTTTATTCCTTCCGTACACTTTTTTTGTGTATACGTTTACTCGAAATCGAATTGGTCAATTTCCTTCAAATTTTTGTTAGTCATCAGGCCCTATAATATCAAGTTCCCGAAACCTTTTTCAAGTTCGTGGGGTCATCGTGACGTCATCCAGGCGCCATTTTGTAAAAATCAGGTCATTATCATATCTCAATAACGAGTAATCAACCGGACTTTATAAAGTTTAAAATCTTTATTAATTCAATATTAAATGCGTATTTATTCAAAAAGTTACGCTGCTTTAGTAATGGAAACGTTACAATGCGTTTAATTGAAACTTTATACAAGGCATAAGATAAATATTTCAAGCTCTCCTTTGTAATAAGAGCAGAAATTAAACAAACAAATATTTCATAGCATAGATTTGGGATTCACTATCACAGTGTTATTTACATAATGCGCGTAATCCGCACAACTTGAGCAACGCGCAGCGATCATGCACAGAGCTAGATACGCGTACACAATTGCAACCGGTCCTTATAAATGCGCGTAAACCGCGTAAAAACGGACTATATTTCCCATAAATGTTATTTTCAATTTACTTTAGATCATTCAAGACAAGCTCTTGGAAGTACATCGCATTTTACAATATTTACTGTCTCGAGTTTCCACGCACTTTTTAGTCACCATGTACGACCCTTTCAACGATTATTTGGGACTTAGTGGACTTTTGTCCAATTGCAGAGTAAATGATGAGTTTATCTCGACACCGTTCCACCACAACGACGACTTCGAGTCCAACGGCGTCAACGTCCCAATGATGTCGCGATCGGTTTCGTCCATCAGTGACCTTATCAAGAACAACATGGTCTCGGGTCTGCATGTCTCGACGAGCCAGACATCGACTGCTTCGACCGGGTTCATGCCTTTACAGTTGCCGCTGAACATCGCTAAGATCACCGAGCTCTCCAAGGTGATGAGGGGAGGAATTAGGCGAGCTGAGCCAAACTGGTGTGTGTTTTGCAAGAACAACGGAGAGAGTGAGATGGTGTATGTCAGCCACAAACTGAAATCGAAGGAAGGCATCACAACCTGCCCGATACTACGAGCCTACACATGTCCACTCTGCGGGACCAACGGCAACCGGGCACACACAGTCAAATACTGTCCAAAGTATAAAGAAAAACAAATAGGATCGACCTCCGGCCCGGTGACCATCGGATCCCAGTATCGAACCCCACGGACATCGACCGGACGCCGACCGTTAAGATCTTCTAGTCTCAGCCTGAGCTCCGATCCCTACGGAAGTTTATCGTCATACATCGGGGGAAACATGGTACCGGGAAACATCGCCTGATCTGAGCAGCCTTTGCAGCACGACATTTCCTTCGTTCTTCCAACTTTACTAGCCTACGACAACCGATTTTGGACATAAAAAAAACTTTATATGAACTGAAATCAGAAAGTACTGATTGCTGGGTGTATTAATTAAATGTACGCAAGTACTTCATTCTTTTAAAATTGTTTCCATTTCTTTGTTCTTTTATAGAATTTGATACAGAAAGATATATTGTTTTTTCCATGATGATGTGGTGTTGAAAGCTTTGAATGAATGTTTGGAATTGGAAACTATTTAAATGGTCTGTTGTAGAGAAGGAAATGTGATTGATGGTGTGTGATAGTAAACTTTTTTTACTTGAACTTTTTAAGAGAATGAGAGTTTTGCGAATCGATATTGAGATTAGCTTTGAGAATTGAAAAGGAGTTCAATTAATGAGTCCTAATGTTAACTCTCTGTCTCCACTATACAAATTAAACCCCTTTCACTATTATTCCTTTATCTTTATGACTGTGATAAAGTTGTATTCTTTCTATTTTATTCTATTCAATTTTCTTTCATCTCGCTCCTTTTTCTTGATACACGAACAAACCAAACTTCTTAATTTAATTCCTAAACGTTTTCTTCTATTTGTTCACCCTTTATTTCACTTAATTCCGTTCGCTCTTTACCTTCCACTTTATTTCGTCATTTTCTCTCGCTCTTTTGTTTTATCCATTTTTCTGTGAACCTCTGAATGTCTCCCAATTCTCTTTTTCTCTCCGTCTCTCATTTCTGTCTCATTTCTCTCTTCTCTCTCTCTCTCTCTCTCTCTCTCTCCTGTATCTCTTGCTTTTAACCTCATTTTCATTCTTTTGAGTTGTAAATTTCACCGCGCACCAGCTGCTGGTGACAATATATTACGCGTATAACAAAATGCGCACCATGCGCGAACTCTATTGTGACGTCACAATCACACCCTAGGCACACTTTGCAGTGTATCGAAAATTCGTCAAGCACTCGATGCACAGTGCTTGTTTGACGATGTTTTTGTTGCAACTTCTAATGCTAGGAAATCATGTGTAGTGTAGGCTACATAATTTAAGAGTATAAGATAATAAGAGTTTCTTATTATGCTCTAGATGTCTGATGTGGTTAATAATAGTAATATTGACTGTCTAATTCAGGGCAATACGACTTGCCATATATCATCATCACCTTTGGTTCGGGCGATATACGTCGTATTGCCCGGAAGGCAGTCAATATTACTTAATTATGCATCATCATGATAATTTCTCAATATTTCGTTCATCAGTTCAGCTCATCAGTTTGGTTCAGTTCATCACCTTATCCGTTCAGCTCATCAATTCAGTTCATTTTAAATCAGTTTAATTTATCAGTTCATCAGTTCATCAGTACTTCATTCATCAATTCATATCTTAATACATCATTTTACATCATGATCATCATCATCGTAATCATCAGTATCAGCATCACCATAACTATCAAGATCATCATCAACATCATCATCATTAACATTTTCATTATCACCGTCATCATTGTCATCACCATTACTATCAAGATCATCATTATCATATCATCATCATCATTGTTTACATGTCTATATAACTTCTACCTTTCTCAATATAGTAAATATTATAATCTATCATAAGACTTGAAGACAGACCACCTTAATCGTCCTCGTGACGATTTAAATTCTAGTTTATTTTTATTTCTCCCCGTTTTTTGTTCATCGGTTAACTCAAGATCGGTTGTGTTAATTTCTTTCAATTTTGACACAGTTATAGGTCATTGTCATGAGACGTGACAGTAACCTTTTCAAGGTCATCAGGTCATCGTGACGTCATCCAGGCGCCATTTTGTGAAATCACGTTATCCATCATATCTTCATGATGCATAAGCAAAGGTCATTCATATTTATATCACATATACTTCAGGTCAAGGGTCAACAAGTCATGTCATCAAAGGTCACATAAAGGTCATGACGCGCACGTACGCGCGCGTCAAAAGTTTAAAATGCTCAAAATCACTTAACTATTAAACGAGAGTACGAATTAGGTAATTTAAAGCATTTCAAAATTTTCCGTCCGTACGTGTCACCGCGCGCGTTGCGCGCGCTCATAACGCGTGGAAAAGGTCAAATTCAAATTGTTTACATGATTTAGATTCCTCTTACCGTAAATGACAATTTACATTAATTTCAGTCACTCTTGACCTTTCATAAGGCCGTGAGCGCGCGTCAAAGTTCAAAATCTGCGCGTGCTGCTATGGGCAATATAATGCAAATTTGATCAAAAACATGCCATTTTAAAAATCAAAATAGCTCTTCAGATAGTCCATCGACCCCCAATTTTTATATCATGGTTGGAGAAAGCATGAGTTGGAGATATGATTTCATACCACCCTGACTCGTACAAAGTGTAACAAAGTCAACATATTAACATCTAAACTCAACAAAATGTATTTTGTTGATGACGTCATTTTTGTCTTTGTTTATTTGAGATTATCTCACTTATCGGTCATCGATCTTCTCCCAGATTTTGATATGTTGTAGCTGAGATAATTCTCTATCAGTAATATTAAATTCATTTTTCATTTAGATGACGTCATCATAGTTAAATATTCGATTAAAGGTGACAATGCATAATTTGTCATATTTGCGTGTTATGTCTATGGGAGGTCACTTTTTTCAAAACATGAATCGGCATGACAAGGTGTTTTGACCAGTATCTCGGTTGTTATTCAACAGTTTTCTCACAAATTTTAGTATGTTGTAGCTGAGACTATTTGCTATCTAAAATTTCCTCATTTTTTTTAATCAGTTGTCAGGATTATGCTTATGCTCATCATCATCATTAACATTATCGTTTTTATCGTCATATAACATTATCATTATCATCATCACCTTTACTATCATGATCATCACCATGTTCATCATGATCATCATTGTTTACATGTCTATATAACTTGTCCCATTCTCAAATCTATCATAAGACTTAGACAGACCACCTTATTCGTCTTCGTGACGAATTAAATTCTAGTTAGGTGGTCTGTCGTTTTCGACAGATCACCTATTGTTTTCGTCAGAATTTTCTTTCTTTATTTATTTATTTATTTATTTATTATTATTTATTTTTATTTCTCCCCGTTTTTTGTTCATCGGTTAACTCAAGATCAGTTATGTTAATTTCTTTCAATTTTAACACAGTCATAGGTCATTGTCATGAGACGTGACAGTAACCTTTTCAAGGTCATCAGGTCATCGTGACGTCATCCAGGCGCCATTTTGTGAAATCACGTTATCCATCATATCTTCATGATGCCTAAGCAAAGGTCATTCATATTCATATCACATATACTTCAGGTCAAGGGTCAACAAGTCATGTCATCAAAGGTCACATGAAGGTCATGACGCTCACGTACGCGCGCGTCAAAATTTTAAAATGTTCAAAATCACTTAACTATTAAACGAGAGTACGAATCAGGTCATTTTAAGCATTTCAAAATTTTCCGTCCGTACTTGTCCCCGCGCGCGTTGTGCGCGCTCACAGCGCGCGGAAAGGGTCAAATTCAAAATGTTTACGTGATTTAGATTTCTCTTAACGTAATTGACAATTTACATTAATTTCAGTCACTCTTCATATTTCATAAGGCCGTGAGCGTGCGTCAAAGTTCAAAATCCGCGCGTGCTGCTATGGGCAATATAATGCAAATTTCATCAAAAACATGCCATTTTAAAAATCGAAATAGCTCTTCAGATAGTCCATCGACCCCCAATTTTTATATCATGGTTGGAAAAAAAATGAGTTGGAGATATGATTTCATACCACCCTGACTCGTACAAAGTGAAACAAAGTCATCATATTGGCATCTAAACTCAAACAAATGTATTTTGTTGATGACGTCATTTTTGTCTTTGTTCAATTGAGATTATCTCACTTATCGGTGATCACTTTTCTCTCAGATTTTGATATGTTGTAGCTGAGATAATTCTCTATTAAAAATATGTCATTCATTTTTCATTTCGATGACGTCATCATAGTTAAATATTCCATTAAAGGCGACAATGCATAATTTGTCATATTTGCGTGTTATGTCTATGGGGGGTCACTTTTTTCAAAACATGCATCTGCATGACAATGTGTTTTGACCAGTATCTCGGTTGTTATTCAACAGTTTTCTCCCAAACTTTAGTATGTTGTAGCTGAGACTATTTGCTATCTAAATATTTCCTCATTTTTTCAATCAGATGTCAGGATCATGCTCATGCTCATCATCATCATCAATATCATCATCATCATGATCATCATCATCATCAATGTCACCATCATCATTATCATCATCATTGTCTGAAGATGATCATCATCAACATCATCATGATCATGATCATTATCATCATCATCATTAACATTATCGTTTTTATCGTCATATAACATTATCATCATCATCACCTTTACTATCATGATCATCATCATGTTTATCATGTTCATCATGATCATCATTGTTTACATGTTTTTATAACTTCTCCCATTCTCAAATCTATCATAAGACTTAGACAGACCACCTTATTCGTCTTCGTGACGAATTAAATTCTAGTTTATTATTATTATTTATTTTTATTTCTCCCCGTTTTTTGTTCATCGGTTAACTCAAGATCGGTTGTGTTAATTTCTTTCAATTTTGACACAGTCATAGGTCATTATTATTTATTTTTATTTCTCCCCGTTTTTTGTTCATCGGATAACTCAAGATCGGTTGTGTTAATTTCTTTCAATTTTGAGACAGTCATAGGTCATTGTCATGAGACGTGACAGTAACCTTTTCAAGGTCATCAGGTCATCGTGACGTCATCCAGGCGCCATTTTGTTAAATCACGTTATCCATCATATCTTCATGATGCGTACTCAAAGTTCATTCATATTCATATCACATATACTTCAGGTCAAGGGTCAACAGGTCATGTCATCAAAGGTCACATAAAGGTCATGACGCGCGCGTATGTGGGCGTCAAAATTTCA